ACTAAGCTGAATCCAAAATGTTGATGCAGTGCACTCGCAGAATAACAAAAAAGTTTGACTGAGGCAGTACAGAGATAGACTTGAATTGCTTTTAAATCCAACTTTGATGAATGTTTACTAAAGGAAAGCAGAAAGAATTGGTAGTGCTTCATTTTGAGTGCATACAGTCCTTAGGTAGGCTATCTGCAAGTAAAATTGGGTGTTCCCAAAAATTCTGTAGTAAATTGCCCAGCAGCATTGATTTTTAGCTCATGGAAAAGGAGAAATGCGGGGAAAGTGATGATCATGTGGAATCACATGATGCCCCTCCTCCCTCTCCAAAAAAAAAAAAGTCTGCTAGATATTATATTGAATTTTCTTTTGTTTTCCCTGATAATCTGATTTTCAAAAGAGCTGGGCAAAACTAGAGAGTTTTTTCTTCTTATTCTAGGTTGTTATCTCACATTACACTATTTAATAAAAATCAAGTGTTAATAATATCAAAAACCAATACTAGAAAAAAGTAAACTATGAAGCCATAGATCACAGAAGACATCCCAACTGAATAGCCTTGACAAGAGATCTTGCTGCGTACATTCATTCATCCTAAACTACAAGAAATTTCCTTCCTCTCTGCAAAGCCAAATCGTACTTACTGCTCAATAAGTAGTAAGAAAAGGTTTGTAAGGGTTGATTGCAGGTGAATGTTTCTGTAATCAACAGCAATGATGGGAAAATACCCCTGCAAAATTAGATGAAATTCGGAAAAAAGAATATTTTGGTTTAAGCTTATTGGAAGGGTTCTTTGGGGATCTTGTTTTCAACTGCATCATCACCAGCTTTTCCTCCCATTCCGTGGGCCTAAGTGCCCTCTGCTGTTTCAATTCAAATTCCCACAGATCCTGAAGGAGATCCTCACTCTAACAGCAAACAGTCTGGAAACGTGCTTTTTTAATTTTGGAAACAGCAGATTATACAAGCAATGGCAAAGAAATGCAAGCTTCACCATTGTTAATACTATACAGCTATTGATACCACTCTTTATGTTTAATCTACCCCCCGCAAAAAAAGTGTACTCTTGAGGTGCGGAGCAAAATATGATCTATTAGCTCCTCCTGGTGGCTTAGTTTGGCCTACACTTTCTTTACACATTTTTCCCAATAGTTCTTTCCTTCAAAAAGCACTAGAAATTTATTTTTAAACAAATTGGAAGTTTTGTATGACTTCTTTTTTTTTAAGTTTTGATCCCTCTAAGTAAAATCTGGGGAAAAAAACAAAGTTTTAGAATTCTAATATAGTATATACAAATATATAGACTATATAGAACATGCAGAAGTATAACTTGGCTCTTGATCTAGACAAAACACCATTTGAGTTTTGACCTCAGTACTAAAAACGCATGTACACTGGCTTTTTTATCCTGAATAAACTAACTAGTGCTAAACTCACTAGTGCTATTCGCACACACAACTTAAAGCACTTCCAAGGCTATACTCATAGTGCACAGCACCGTTAACACATTCATTAGGAACCAAGTGTGTTGCTTGAAGTTTTAATTGTTCTTTTACAGCCTGGTTCATTAGTGCCCTATTAGCGCAGATCCTTTACACACCTATTTACAGCAGCACATTAGCAATAGTAGGAAAAGGGGGCAATTGCAGACGGGTGCCACTTTAACACTTTCCTGGATATTATACAACAAGGGCATGGAAACTTTTAAATACTTATCCTAACCATAGAAACACTGAGAACAGTATCAAAGCACAAGCATCTTCAGCAGAATTTAGTTTGAAAGCCTGGACCATGACCTGTGAAACACTTTTCAAGAGAAATACTTACAGGCGAGTGCCACCTCGTGGAAAATAGGGAAGAATTTTCATCTAAAAAAAAAAGAAGAGCTGTTTTAAGGTGGTCGGGATCTTTTCAAAGCAGAGATTTAAAGTCAAAGAGTAGCAAGAAAGTATTGCCAAACAGCCACAGGTGCTTTGCAAGTGCATCCCCGGTGGACACCAAAGTGGCCAAACTCTGAGCCCTCCTGATCTATGCGTTTTTATCATTACAATGATAAAACTGGATACAAAAACTGGATGTTTTTCTTACTTTCAGTTAGTATCTTTGTAAGTGTAACTATTTTGAATCTAACATAAGTTTTTAAATGAATGTGAAAAAAGTTTTCCTTTTGCTTTATATACCACATTTTATTATAGACTTTTGCATTCAGAATTAAAAGACTTGCAAATCCTTAAAACTTCAAAATATGTATAATTGCTAGCTATTATGACACAGAATGAGTAGCATGAATGAACTGTATCCCTAGCACAAGTTTTCTGTCCTAGCGAAAGTGTCACATAGTTACCAGGCCTCAAACGTAAGGTTATATAAATTACTGCACATTTTCTACTCTGGAGTGAAAAATTAGACCTGTTTGTTACCAGTGTGTATTTCTGTTCTTAACTTAGTAACAGATGGCAGTTGCAGTCTTCCAAAGTCAAACATTGGCTAGAAAAAAAAAATAGAGCAACTTCTTGTAGTATATCAACTAAAATCCCTCATTAATCTCAGTTCTGATACTGCTCATCTCTACATGGAACTTATTTGCACTATCTGACTACTTCTTGCAGTTGGGTAAAATATAGTAATATATATTTCCCAGTGTTTGCAAATTATACTTTTTTTTTAAAAAAAGTACATTTTATGTAAGTGTATAAAAAGTGTGAAAAGATGACCATGATTTTCCACTTACTTATTCCACATAAGTTCCATGCACACAGAAACATGGATCTGTGTTTACGTGATATTGTTTAAAATAGGACGGAAACCCTTTGCTATAAATTTTAGTTGCAGAAATGGGACATTGTGCCTTGAGAGCACAGTGGATACAGAAACATTCAGAAATGTTTTCTGTATCTCTAAGATGTCCTAACAAAGATACTATATTTTTCTGTTTCTCAGAGTTTTATCTTTGGGTAAAAAGCAGTGTCAATTGGCACTAAATAATTTTTTAAATGCAGGAATCTAGGAACAGTCAGCAGTAAATACAGTCCTGGTTTCATTCACACATTTGCTTTGTTCCAGAAAGAAAAGCGAAAAAAAAGGAGGAAAAAAAAAAAGGCCTCAACAAGGATAAAGAAGCAATTTCTTAAACTGTGCACATCTCAGATACATTGCATATAGAGAATTAAGCGGATTAGCTGTACCACTATGGTTGGTTACGGCTTAAAGGAAAAAAAAATATTGGCTGCACCTAAGCAAATGTCTCTGTTAAAGTGATTTAAGAGGAACCATTTCCCAGAACTACAGGTGCACCGCAGATTGTCGCTGCTATGGCTGTGAAAGGGTGGAAAGGAAAGGGAAAAAATGAAAAGGAGGAGAAAGGGAAAATAAAGGGGAAGGAGAAGGGAAGGGAAGAAAGAAAGGAAAAGAAGAGAAAAGGAAAAGAGAAAGGAAAAGAAAGGAAAAGAAAGGAAAAGAAAAGAAAGGAAAAGAAAAGAAAAGAAAAGAAAAGAAAAGAAAAGAAAAGAAAAGAAAAGAAAAGAAAAGAAAAGAAAAGAAAAGAAAAAAAGAAAAGAAAAGAAAAGAAAAGAAAAAAAAA